TTGAGGGGTTTGAAGGGCAGGCCCCGATGTCTAACGTCGCTCTTGGATCCCGTAAAAAAACACATTTTGAAGCAGCCTCGAGCAAGCCCCTTCTGGCAAGTTTCGAGGCTTTTGGGGGATTGGGGAATTTGAGGGGCTTGACGGGTTTGAAGGAACCCTCCACACCCTGAGCACTCGTACCTTCTCTCACGCGCTCCCCTTGCAGTCGCAAGGGGTCGGCGGATATATATATAACTGTCCGCAGGTGAGTAGCAAGTAAGGGGTAGGGACGTTCCCATTATACAATCATGTCGCGCAAGCATACCTCCACGTTTGCTCCAAAAAGAGTCTTGATTCATCACTTTCTAAACCGCTGCACATCTCGGACGACCTGCAGTGCCTCTTTTGAGTGTGACACATAGTACAGTAGTCAATAGCAGTGGGTAGCGATGAGTAGCTTCAGGCAATAGTTGTCAGACATACGGGTAGATGTCCATAATGCCTTCAGGCACCTGTGGCTGATACGTGAAAAAAGTGAAAACCCAATTACAATACCATTGCAGTGTGGGGGTTTTCGGGTAATTTCGTCCGTTGTCGGTAGAGGGTACCACTTTTGCTTGTGTTCGGAACACGGTCATGTCATCCATGTGATTGGCTCGCAGCTTTTGAGACTCTCCATTTGACATCTTGCCTGTCTCTTTCTTGTGCCTTTTGATGTGGTTGCGTGTTGGCCCGTGGCCCTCGACCTGACGTCTCTTACCTCGACTGTTGACGTCTCTTACCTCGACGGCCTTCGTCACTTGCGATCCGTACGCCGCACCCGTTCCACTCGGCCTCTCACCACGGGTCCGTGACCGGCGGTTGGGCAAGCAGGCACACGGTTCAGTGCATTCATGGATGCAGCTGTTATGCCAAAGCAAGTGAAGAGAGAGGCCAAAGAGAAAGGTGTCAGTATGAAGACAACGCTGGAACGCCACGTCTAGTCTAGTGCCACTGCGATGAGAAAGTGAATGGGCAAGTGCAAACGACACAAAACTAATGTCCACATCAACAACCCATTTTTTGGCCACTTCAATTCCGAGTGTCCTCTTCACCGTGTTTCAGAAAGACCCTCATCTACCACCATGGGAGCCTCAAGGCGTCGTATCCTAGTTTAGTTTGTGGCCAGAGACTATCCATGGACAGTTTGTGAGCAACAAAACAGTTCATTTCAATTGATCCATCTTCAAGAAGTCTTTTTTGCACAGCTGCATCTCCAATGCTTGCCGCTTCCTTCCGCGGACAAGTTCCAGGGAACTACCAGATGTCCAGCAGCAATGCAAAAAAGTTTGTTGATCGTCTACATACAGTGAACTTGCTTTTGCAGTGAGCGCAAGCTGAGCGCAACAGAGGTCTGAGGAATGATCCCGGAGCCATGCCGGTAGATCAGCTCCATCTTGCACCAACCACTCAGAATGACCCACCTTAGACACAGCTGCTGATTGAGGATTGTATTACAAAAATAATGAGCAGTCCTATTTCCTAATCATAAGAGGACACATATAATCCGTTAAAGTAATAGCCATAGCAAACTAAAAGCCTTAAACATCGGAGGATTCATGCTGCAGAGGTTGTCATTGTATTAACAATGTTTTTGTTGTTCATCAATGTTGCTTTTTGCACTTATGTTTCTTCTACTGTATTTTCGTAGCTCTTTATATAACTCGCAACATTCAGATCGATAAGACAAAACGCAAGATGATTGCCATGCTACAAACATACAAACGTGTATTTTGAAGGATCCATGGTCTGTTAGAACGTGTTCGGTGAAGGGTAGTGGCTGCTGTTGGAAAGTACCCATGTGGATTGCATGTTGGGTGTCAAGTGTATAGGCTAGAGTCATACCCTCAGTGCCAGTGAAGAACACCTGTTGCCAATCTGTGCAAGACTTTACAGCACCTTCGTACACAAGTTGTGGTGTCCACAACCCGGTTATAAAATAATAGTTGCAAAACCTGATTTTGTATGCTTTGTGACTTTTTGGCAACTTTGCAGCGTGTCTCAACGTAAACTCTTCTGACGGAATTGTCACGTGCACATGCCAGGGCCTCGTCGCTGCTGTTCTGACTTGTTGTGAAGCCAGATCGACCGCATGCATCGTGGCTTTGACGTTGCAGGAGATCCTGCTTTGTGTGAGGGCAGTGCTGGGCAAACGGATGGTTTTGGCGGGTTTCGACATGCCCAGTGCTGGCTTCAAAGAACCAACATGATTCAGGAAAACGGTGACTTGCTGAGCTGCTCCGAAAGCTTTATTTTGTCAGGATGGAGCTCATTTGTCCGAGAGCTGCTTGCAAGGCTATGAGGCGAGGCTGGATTTGCGTGCCACGTCCGGTCACTGGCCACCGACTAAACCGGAGGCCTTGGTGCCCATCCTGCAAGATCTTCAGGCGTGGAGAGCTGGTGGCATCATGTAGCGTTGTGAGAGGTTCGTAGGCATGTACCACCCAAAAGGCATGAAAAGAAGGAGGAACATGCTGGGCGTTATCGCATCATTTGTATGCTGAGTACTCGACTTCAGACTCATGAGTCGGTCGGAACAAACGCCTTGAAAGGTTGTGGAGACTTGGCACAGACCGTGGAGCCGGCTCACGTTCTGGGCCAAAAAGATGCATTGCTTCTTGGGGCCCTTCTTAGTCAGAAACGCATCCACAAGCACCGCACCACCCTTGACAGGAATTATCGCCAGGCTGTGCAGAAGGCGAGGCCTACTCCCGGGCGGTCGTGGTGCCGTTGCCTTTGTCGCTCGGGCCGCCACCCCGTGAGGTCGTACCGCCGGCTTCGATGTCCATCTATGCCTAGGGCCATCGGAGAAAAAGACCTTCGCTCCATTTGGACCCTCGGAGACGACTGGAGAATCCGTTCGAGAAAACGCGGAGATCACGGCGAACAGCAAGTTGTTGGTGATGCATTTCACGAGGAAGTTGGGCCTTGAAGTTGTGTGATTTCGCAGGGAGCCATTTCAAGCAAGAGGCAGTGCTACTTATTTTGCGAACCGTTCTTCAGTGAGGCAACCAAAAAAGCAACAAGCTTCAAGCTAGAAGTGACATGATATTGATATACTCATGGCATAGATTTGGACCACTGACCCCTGCAACAACTTGCCGCTTTGACTTCAATGGTGGACGAGCAAAAGCAGTATTTGCCAGGGCCCCAACGGCCCCGTACGGCCCACGGCCTCGCTCTTGCCACCTTGCCCCTACCTGGAATCGCGCTTGCAGCTTATGGTGTTTCACACCCATCGCCTACCATGTGCCTCTGAGGCATCGCTTCAATACCTCAGGGAAGAAACAGCGTGAGCTGACCGAGGACGGTGTGCATCGCTCGACGGACACGCTCGACGGTCTCTCGACGTCGGTCCCCGACACGGCGATGTAAAGGTCCTTCAGATGGGTCTTGTGGAGAGAAGAAGGGCCATTTGCTGGAAAGGGAAAGTAGATCAGCACATTGACATGTTGACATGTTGCTAGATTGGTGTTTGATCCGCCAGGAACAGAAGCAAGAGCTGAAAGAAGTCTTCGACCTGCACCCATCCGCCAGCTTGTCGCTCCTTAAAAACCTCCCGCTACGGCACCACCTCTTCCCACTACCATCCCGAACCCGGCCCGATCGATCACCGATCCCATTTCAGGTACGACACGGATGGCTCCGCCGCCATCGACAACACCGAGCTGAAGGCAACGGCACCACCGCCGCCGGGTGGGGCCTGGGACCACCCGCTAGGGGGGGCGAAGGAAGGCCCGGTTTGGTCGCAAAACCCGTGCGGGGCGCCGGACGGATCGCCAGGGCTTGATGCAAGTCCTCGGCTTCTCCGCCACCACCCGAGAGGTCGCCGATGGGGTTGTTGAGTCAAGCGAGAGGTTACGGGTGCAGCTTGGTTTTGAATTCATGTCAGCAACGTGTGGCAACGCGGTATCCTTGGGTTGGGATGAGTACTTGGTAGTTAGCGTGGCTACTGGCCTAGTGGCTAGTTTCTAGATGTTTCTACTTCTCCAGATCCCACTTCCTCGTGCCTGCGCGGATCCTGGCAGTCACTGTCCAGCACTCTGCCGCATGAAATTCAGGAGCTGGTAGCAATGATGATGGCAGTAGACAAGGACACGATGTCCTGACACGATGTTTTGGCTGGGTGCCAATGGGGAGACGTTTTGTGGACTCCAGGACGGCTCCGGTGAAATCGAGCTGGACGAGTTCCTACAAATGATGGCGCCCAAAGTTCTGCAGGGATCTTTGGCTTCAGCTTGTTGACCTGTGGATAAAGATTCATTTTGCAAGCTATGTGCGGGTGGTTGAGCAGGAGTATAAAGAGTCTGCTCATGCTGCAGTTGTGGACATGTTTGTTTTGAGGGGAAGAGAGCCATCTGCCATCATCCGAAAGGCAGGGAAGTGAATTTCCACGAAACAAACCGGTACAGCATGCAGCCTCGCGTCATCGTCCGATTGTACTTGGTAAATCGATCAAACCCAAGTCCATCTCAGAGGTCAGGTAGGCGCAAAGGGATTGCACGCAGCTGGGGAGATTTGAATCTTCAAACCATCATGCGAGAGTCGTTCAAAACATCCCTCTTGCGCGAGGCCTTCCCTCTGTTCGTCGAGCCTGGGCTTGCCTCTCAACACCGCAACCAAACGCGCACCATAGGGGGGGAACCATGTCATTCATGGAATGTGAGAGCTCTCAGCGAGCAGCTTTTGACTGGGCACCCGGAGCAGTTCCAGCAGCTGTTCCTGCAGTTCACCTCGTCCGACTCCCCAGGACGGACGTGATCACTTGGCAAAGCTTGAGGTCCGACTCCCCAGGAGGTCGAGGGGGTGGTCTTTTTCGGGTCGGGAGAGCCGATCACTCGTCGGACCGGGGAGAGCCGGTCAGCACCCGACCCACAGGGAGCCCCTGTTCCATTGGCTGCCGACTTTCGAGACCCTGACGCAAACATGGGGTGTGTGAATCCCCCCGCCCTAGACCCCCGGAATCCTTGCAGGTCCGATGTTCAGTTCTTCCGGGTCAAGAAAACGCTCTGGGCGCTCACAAATAGTGGGCTACAACATGCTGTGAACATGCTGCAACCTTCAACAAGTTCTTACCCAACCTCTTCCACCTCTTTCACGTCTTCCGGGTGAAGAGCGTGCTGCGGCCGTTCGGCGTGTGTGGTCGAACAGGGCCACCGCGGATGATCTCGGCCTGGCCTTCACGGATCAAGAGCTACAGGAGATGATCCAGGATGCCAGAGACTTAGTCGATTTGGTCGCAAGACAAGGATCGAAATCGAAGATGGCACCTCAAAGCCTGTTTTGTTCAACACGTTTTGCAGGACTTTATTCATTCAAACCTGCTTTTTGAATTCTTTTTTCTACCAGACAGCAGCTGCACTTCGGGTGGGAATTTCAGATTCGGCTGGAGAAATGGACGGGCTGCGCCAAGGGAGATGAATCTGGTGATGGCGCACTGCAGGAGGAGGAGTTTGTTAACGTAATGAGAAGGGCTAAGCTCTTTTGATGTCAAGAGCGTGGATTTCATGGGACAGACAAAGAGAGAGAGAGAGAGCTGTCCCTGTTTCACGCTTCTTCGCAGCTGGACTGAAAAGTGCTGCTCAATTGCTTGTCAAGAACATCGGAGTGCAGATAGATAGATAGATAGATGGATAGATAGATAGATAGATAGACTTGGGACGCCTATTATAGAAGAAATTAGTTGTGAACATCTTCTATTTGAAACCATGCTGGAAAGCATCCCAGGGGCATTTCAAATAGAAGTATATAGACATTTAATACCGTCGATTTCCAGCACGTTTTTAAATAGAAGGTATGCATCAGCAATCCACCCCAGCCCGCCCAGCCCGCCCGCCAATTGTGAATCAAGTGAGACGGCTGGCGTGGCATGGGAAACCTGACCTTTCAGGCGCAGATGAGAGAATCAAAGGATCAAGGAGGGAGGGAGCGAAAGAGAGAGAGAGAGAGGGGGAACATGGGCCAAGTGCATCAGTCCTTGGCCGGTTCATTGGCCCTTACGATCCACTGTTCCACAATCCCTAAAAAACTCTCTAGCACACTTTGTTCTCTTATTAACACTCTATGAGAATCTTAACAGGTTCTAGCTCACAAAGGGTACTTCTATTTGGTAAGGAATTTTCAATATCTTCTATTTGATAAGGTTTGGATTCATTGCAACTTGGTCAGCTGGATGAGACGGGGCATCTCCATAGGAGTCTTTTTGGGATCTTGGGCACTTCCGGGATCAAAAGGCTGGAAATATAGGTATGGGCCCCATCACTTAGCACCAGCCACAGTGATGTTGCAGTGATGCCTGCTTCTTCCAAAAAGATGGAATCATCCGATATTGCCATCGCCCGCTCTACATGATACACCTCAGCTTTGTGAGGCACATGAACCGCAACTTGGCCACTCTTCCTTCAAACGCCCACTTGTGGATTGCGTTGGTCCTTGGCCTTGGTGTGGGATCTCAGGGTGTGCGATGTCATTTGCCGTCAGCGCAACTTACCAGGACATTTCAATATCTTCTATTTGTTAAGGATTGGCTTCATTGCAATTTGGTCAGCTTGTCGTTTTGTACTTTGGGTTCTCTACATCATTGTGGGAAAAGGTGCAAGAAGGTGGGAAGCCAGCCAAAATCCGGACAAGGAACGCGAGTTCATGCGTTCTTCCTCTCATGTGATTTTGGTGATTTGCTTCTAGTTGAAAGTGCACCGGCAGTCCTGTGTTGCGGTCGTGCTCGCAAGACTGTCTGCGCAGGCGGAGCCCACTTCATTGTCGGCAAAGGTGCCTAAAGACGGGAAGCCAGCCAAGGAGGTGAGGGAGTTGTGGGCAGTCAGTTTTGAACCGTGATTTGCATGTTTTTTGAAGTCATGATTTCCAAGAGGTTGGTTATTTATCGATATTTCAATATCTTCTATTTGATAAGGTTTGGTTTCATTGCAGTTCCTTCAGGTTGTCTCGACTCTCTACTCAAGATTGGGCTTCAAGCGTGCCATTGGAAAGACACGGCGCCTCGCTCCACAGTGTGCCATTGGAGTGTCATGGCCATGAGGCCAGTTTCTGGAAGGTTGGGGAAAGGAGGTGATGCTGGAGCACCTTGCAGTCTTCAAGTACTTGCGTGTGGGCTCTGGCCGCAAGCGTGAACGCTTGCTGATCTCAATCAGCCTGCGGGAGCTGGGGGCGGCAAAGGTTGCTGCAGGCAAGGATCCAACAAGGTCCTTGCTCACTTCCGCGGCCGCAGTGCCCTACTGCCACCTTAGCAGCTTTGCTTGCTGTCACGGCGCCAAGGAGCACGACCTGACCTTCACGTGTGATCTTCAGCGTGCTGCCTCCTGGCTTTTTAAAGATCAAGTCCAAATTGTGTTCAGAGTTGGTAAGTTTTCCACACTTTGGTTTGGTTTCAATCGTCCGTCAAATGGTAGTTGAAATTAAATTGGTTCAGCTCTGCCACTGTCAATTGCAGATGTTTGTCAGCCAAGGCTTGGGAAAGCGATGTCACTGACACTGGTAAAAGAACTCTACTGTGTGCCATCCAGGATGGTCCTGGGACCACTCAACCTCAGCCTCAGACTGATGAGTCTCTGTAGGCCCATGAGGCTCTGAAAGATGCCCTTCCTAGAGCGATTCCCCACATTTCTGTGGCTCCTGTGGCTCCTCAGCGTCAGCATCGGGCGCTGGAGTCTCTGTCAGCGCTTCCAGGAGCGATTCCCCACATTTCTGTGGCTCCTCAGCATCAGCATGGGGCGCTGTCAAAGCAAGTAGGCGCTCTTCCACCATTGGCTCACGTTCATCTTCTGGAACCGCAATCCATTCAAGCTGCTCGGAGCGGTGTCCAGCCAAGATTTCAACCATCTTGGCGCACACTGCAACTGACAGGTCCGCACCACAAGGGGTTTGTCCAACCTGCAGAGATAACTGGTTGCAGGCCATTGCAATTCCCATCTACATAGTGGAGGCATTTTCAAAAGATATTTGAGAACATATTAGATAACACAGGTTGTTGGCCGCCGCTGTCAGGTCAGCGTTGCTACTAGGTTGAAGGCCATCGCTACAGGCCACCCCTACTAGGGCATTCCATCGTCATCCCTATCTATAAAGTTTTACCTTTATTGAACTAGAAGATAATGCGCATAGACCTTCTGGTCAGCATCCATTGTTCCACAATCCCTAAAAACCTCTGTAGCAAATTATTTCATGTTCCCTTATTAAAACTCTATCAACGTCTGAAAACTTTCTAGCCCACAAAGGGCACCAAACTTCGCAAAAAGAGTGGTGAGGGCTCTTGTCCAAGCTTCTCTCTTAGGTTGGAGGCCATCGCTGCTAGCTACTAGGTTGTGGGCCATCGCAATTCCTATCTACATAGTAGAGGCATTTTCAAGCAGAAGGTATTTAAGTCGGTGGCCGTCGCTCTCAGGTTGGAGGCCATCGCTACGTTGGAGGCCATCGCTCTCCAGCAGCGCCCGTGAGCTGAGAGTGATCTCCAAATAGACCCAGGAAGCGCGCTTGTTTAAAAAAACTTAAAGGCCATCACTACTAGCTACTAGGTTGGAGCCCATCGCTACTGGCCACCGCTACTGGATTGCAGGCCATTGCAATTCGATCTACATAGTGGAGGCATTTCAAACAGAACATGTTTGAGAACGTATGAAAAAGCCGCTAGTAACAGGTTGTGGGCCGCCGCTTTCAGGTTGGAGGCCATTGCTACTGCCAATAGGTTGGAGGCCATCAATACTAGGTTGGAGGCCACCGCTACTGGCCACCCTACTAGGTTGCAGTCCATTGCAATCCCTATCTATAAAATAAAAATGCGCATAGACCTTCTGGTCAGCATCCATCGTTCCACTCTAGCAATTTAATTTCATTGTCCGTTTTTAGAACGTTACAAAATCTTCACATTTTCTATCTCACAAAGGGTACCAAACTTCTCAAAAGAGTGGTGAGTCCTCTTGTCCAAGCTTCTCTCTTAGGTTGGAGGCCATCGCTAGTGGGACCACACATCCTTCGAACAGACTGCAAACATAGTCTTCCAACGTATTTTCTTTACACCTACTTGGGGAGACCTAGCTAGACCCCGAAAGATAGCGTTCCTTTGCTGGCGCCCGGTTCGCCCAGGCCGGAACTCTTGCGTGAAGGGTGTTTCACCGCCTCGCTGTTCTCTTATTTGAACCCACGATTTTGGGCATGGAACGGTGTCCGCCCTTCCTGAACTCTTGCGTGAAGGGTGTTTCACCTTCATGAGATCATGAGGTGAGAAAGGAAAAGGAACCCACTCTGCGTTGCCGTTCTTCTATTTGAAACTGCAATTTTGGACATCGGACGGTGTCCGCCCTTCCTCTATATCGAGGTCCTTTCTTCTTTTTGCAGCCGTACTTAGCTCCCTGACTAAGCCGCCCACCTCCTTTTTTGAAAATATTATTTCGTATCTTCTAGAGTAGTCGTCCATATGATAGATAGATCGTCAGATAGATAGGTAGATAGATAGATAGATAGAGAGGGACAGACACAGGATAGAGAGAGAGAGAGAGAGTGACACTGGACTGGGCATGGCTTTAATTTTCCAGACATCGCCGCAAAGCTGCGCTTGCAAGTCCAGTAGCAAGATAGACGCATGGAACCCAAAGGAACTTCTAAGGCATGAAAGGACAGAATTGCCATGAACTGTCACCACCGACCCTTCCAGACAACCAACCAACAATTAAGCCTTCACCATTTGTAGAGATTTTCAGCCAGATGCAACTTGAGCAGCCATCAGGGCTGTCTCAGTCGTAGAGGCTCACCCAACTTCACCAAATGTTCAGAAGATCTTTGCTCGATGAAAAGATGTGCCCTCAGTGTGGTCAGAGACTTGAGATGGACCATTTTGCGAAGCAAACTTGGCAAGCGATGTGCTGCATCACTGAAGCGCCGAATGGTTTGATGTTGAGGTGTGCTGCATCGCAGTGCTGCTGGGGAGGATAGAACCTCAGCTTGTGCAGATGGATGTTATGACTTGTGTGGACATTGGCGTTTTTTCCAACCAGGTCCTTTTTCAGCACGGGGGCCTCCAACAGAGTTCTAGAGTTCACAGATCCGGTGTAGCGCAGACCCTGGGCTTTGCGAACTTCCGCCACGTAGACCCCCCAAAAGCAAGAGGAGAACTCAACATGTTCAACATCCTTGCTTAAAGCTTCCTTGGATCACAGCCGAGTCCATTGTGGTCCTTTTGGTGCTTTCTATTGTAACCGACCTGCAGCAATCTCCACCCAACGCCACCGCTTGCGGTGGGTGGACCTGAGGTCCACCACCTGGGCCTGGGTGGGTGGCCTGTGTCGCGCACCTTCCACCGCGTGGTCAGTCTGCCGGCAGGCCGGTTTCACCGCATGTGGCCAGCCGCATGTCACGTGTACTGCCGGTGGGGTTTGAATCCGAGAAGACACACAGAAAGCTCCAAAACGTCTTGGTTGACTTCAATTGTTGATCGTTTGGATCCTTTTGGTCGAAAACCATTTCTTTGATGGTGTGTGCTCTTGTCGAGGCAAAGCAAACTCCCTACACTTCCGATGAGTGCCCCAAGGGTGTAGATCCCGCTTCAGGGGTCTCTTCTGACCTCTCGGTAGGTCACCTGGCTGTGGCGGTCCAAAATGCACCCTGCAAGTTATGGAAGGTTGACATCCCCTGTAGAGGGTTGCAGGGTTTTGACCCACAGCTACTTGGTCAGTTGGAGAAGTGGCTGACCTGAACTGGTACTTCTGACTTTCTGTGGGTGAACTGGTGCTTCCAGGTGCTTCCGCCGTGGGCTGAAATCGCAGGTTTGGGCCACGATGTTCATCGAAGTTCGCATGTGACCAGAGGACCAGACCCCATGATGTGGCAAAAACGCCCAAGGGGGGGTGGTTGGGACGATTTGTGATGTTTGTGGCAAAGACATCGCTGGACATCGCTGGACGTCGAGTGCAGAGCTTCGCCATTTCTTCACCAAAGAGCGCAATTCCTTTGAGGACACGTCGAGTGCAGCACGTTTGGTGCTGCAAACGCGTGGAGACATCTGTCCCAAGCACCAGACCCATGCGCAGACTGAGCAGACTGGAGAGAGACGAGCCACCATGGGATAGTGTTTTGGGCCGACCCACATCACCCACATGGTAGTACTTTTGTTCGTTTTGGGCAGGCCATGGTACTGGTCCAACTGATTCAGGACTTGGCAGATGTCTTTTCCTGAAGCCGGAGAGAACATGAGAGTTTCCTTTCATGCCTCATTGGCCGGGGCGAGGTACTGGACCCGCAAGGCGCGAGAGGATGGCGTGTCCGGTCCCACTCTGGGCGTGGGTCGACCGCCCGCGGAGGGTTCCCGCGGCGGAACCGGGCGGAACCGGCGGAACCGCGACGACCGGTGGCCAAGGCCTGCTCGTGCTTACTACAAGTTGGAGGAGTTGGATCGAAGGCGAGAGAAGGGGTCCAATCTCGTGGAGAAGATGTTTCCAAGTGCAGAGAATCTCGTGGAGGAAGAGTGAGTCTTCGTGCCTCTTTGGACCTTTGGAGAAGTTCTTGAGGCTAAGCCAAGCCAAACCACATACCCATCATCTACCCCTGTCCTCTTGGACCTTGGATTTGGCAGGCTGAACCTCTTCCAAGCTGGTTCGGGGCGCCTGATGGGGGCAAGGCGGTACCAGCTACCGTGGGGGGGTGGATGAGTTGGAGGTGCGAAGCGAAGCGCGCTGCAATCGTTGCCTCAGGTGACAGAGTGCTGGATCTTGGCTGTTGGCCCGGCTCGTGGACTCTCTATGCTGCGAAGCCAAGTCCTAAGATGGAAGCAATCTGGGGCAGATGATGTGAAAACACTTTGGGCCACTCAAGAGCTCACTCTGAGCCCTGAGCTCACTTCTTTTTGGGGTCGAAGTGAAAAGACATCCACAAGGACAGGGATGGGCAGGTGCAGCCGCTTTATATGTGTGCCTTTCTTCATAGGTGAGCCACGTTTTTGTAGAACTGTCGAACTATGTTATAGATGTGTTAAGCACCCATGGCTAAACATCCAATCACCCCCTCCCAAACCTGGAGTTCGTAGCTTGGTTCCAAGACATGAAACGACCACGACTGTTCCCACGACGACGGCTGTTGGACCCACCGTCCGTTGCACCGGAGCCTCAAGGAAGGTGGGCCCCAGTGGACGAGTTCTGGGAGTGCCACTCAGAGCGAGTGGACGAGTGTGACAGTCGATGTCATCGAAACCAAAGGATGTCTCACCAAGCTTCGTCACTTCACAGATGTAGACTATACCAAAGGAAACACCAAGGACACAGAAAGGAAACACCAAGGAAACACAATTTTTTCAAGAAACATTCGATAGCATAGCAAGCTTCGTCACTAAGCTTGATCGATTTTGGGACGATCCATGGAAGGTATTTTTCAATTAATGCCATGGGCGGGAAAACGCGGAACAAGCTTCTGACAGTGCTTCTGACCACTTGGAGCGACATACCATTTCTTTATGTTTCTTTCCACCAAACCATTGTGGCCGTGGGTGGGAAACCAATCCACATCGGTGGCGGTCTTGATGTTTCTATTTCTGGCGAGACGACATGAGACATTTTGTGAAGGGCGGGTGACCGGTTAAACGGTTCAACTACTTCAATTGAGAAGGATGGGGGTGTCGATGATGAAGATTGAGCCGGTTAAGCTTTAGTTTTCAAGGTCAGCCTCAGAGTCCAGTCGTTGGGATGACTGGCCCAGTGGTTGGGATGACTGGGAGGAAGAATGGTTCGCACCATCACCGTCCACAAGGCTTTTCTCGCCTTGAACGTTCTGAGGAATTGACCTCAAAGAGGTCTCCATTCCATTACCTTCCAATGCCAAGACTCGCGTGGAGGATGCGTTCCGCTTCAAGGGCTCCAATGCCCGGGGGTCCCAGTTGGAGACGAGTCGTGACATGAGGCGCCGTTCCAGCGCTCGCAGAACGCGGCGCCCAGGTGCCCATGCTGGATGCGGTGATCAGCGACATGGCGCCCAGAACGATGGGTGTGGTCCTCAGCGGAGATCTCCCGGCAACGAACTGCGTTGGAAGAAGGACAATGGACCAAGACACCTTGGCCAGTGGCGGCCAGGGGTTCTCCCTATTCATTTACACACCCATCTGTCTCTTGATGATCTTTCAACCCCCGCAGGCATCCCAGGCCTGAAGAGGTTTCTTTCGATTCATGCCTGTTTTGTTTGGAATCAAGACTCTACATGATTGGGAGTACTGCCAGGCAGTGATGTCTGGGTTTACTGGATCCCATAATTTGAAGGAGATCGAAGACAAAGAAGTCAGTTGGGCCGCAAGGGCCTTTTGATCATTTGCCCGTTGACTGCGCAGCATCTTGAGCTTGAGCCTGAAGTAATTACTGCATGAGGTTTTTCTGCTTTCTTCCATGTGGTCAAAGGGACGGAAAAACCTTCCAGTTCTGTTCATCTAGAGTCTAGCATCATCTTGATGTCCACTTTTGATGGAAAAATCACAGAGATGGCTTTATTTCGATTAGTTTTCAGGGCACTCTTACTACGCGGGTCCGCGCCATCATGGCTCTGGCGCCGTTGGTGGATGTGGCCATCCCAGCACAGCTGGTTGGGCCGCCCCAGCGGCTGCAACGAAGCCCAAGCAGCGTTCTGCCCAGGAGCTCACGGCTTGGAGGTTTGGACGTAGCTGCCCGGTGCGTCCTTAGCTTTGGTTTGTTTCCGGGTGAGGTCAATGAAGATCATTTTTTTGCAAGTCACAGACTGGTGAAGACACGACTTGTAGAATTTCTGTGCCCGCCCTGTCCTCATGATTGCACCAAGAGCTATACTTGAAGCGTCCAGGCATGCTGTTGGCAAGTGTTGCTGTGCCTTGCGGCTGCAGAGTGGCCAGGTCATCCCTGCTCTTTTGAGATGCCACCAGCGCAGACAAAGTGATCTCTGTCAGTCCTTGCCCGTGATGAAGCGCGGTGTCATGTGATAGCAGTTTTCACCGATCATGCTTTCGTCACCATCTGTCGGTGCTTGCGGCGCTTAGAACCACCAGCTTCCTGGTCGCAGGCGGACGAAAGGCTCCAGGAAGGCGTTGCCGGAAACCATCGCCACCAAGGGAGTTCCGGTGCGGGGCCCTATGGATGGAGATAGCCACGGTTTTGGATGAACAGCCGGTGGGTTTTGATACAGGCGGCCTCAAGTCAGCGGTGGGGTGCGGCCTTTGTGCATGCCGAGGTGGTGCTTTATGCACCCAGAAATGAGGTTGAGGAGCAAGCCTTGGAGCAGTTGATCAGTTTAGCAGAGACTTGGGAACTAAGCACGGCCTTGGCTTTGAAGCATGAGTTGGTGGAGGATATGGGGGAGGTGCAGGCACACCCCATCACCTTCCTACTCGGTGTTTCTTTTGAGTTCAGATCTTCTTCCAAGCCACATCACTCAGGAATCTCCGTTGCCTGTGGGACATGTTGCAGCTATGCCAGATGTACATATGGGCAAAGGCAGGGAGCGGCAGGAGCGAGATGATTTGGGTGTCATTGCCCGAACCTTCTTATCACTCTTTCCATACAGTCATTCGTTGAGGGAGGATAGCAAACAGAACTCCTAGCCCTTATGGCCGCTCGTCTGCGGGTTCTGACACCAGCCGTCGGTCGCTGGTGTCACAACTCCGCCCGGAGTCAGCTGTTCAACAACACGCCGAAATCGAAGAGAGGCAGAGGCGGTTCGTAGATCGCCGGTCGTTCGTGGTTGGAGAAATGGGCTCCCTGCACCAGGTGTCGCCATTGGTGCCGTCTTTGCTTCGGAGAAGTATGTTTGTCCCAATGCCGTGGGTGTGGACATTGGCTGTGGGATGTGTGCGGTTCCCATTGAAGGCCTCCACAAAGAGGATCTCACTGAGGAGGACCTGCGAAAGCTACAGAGTTTGATCAAGGAGAGGATACCCACCTCTTTTGATTCGCATAAAGAGCACCTACCGTGGGCAAAAGAAACCTTGAAGAACATCTCCGGCCGCTTGGAAAAACAGCCACGCCTGACCAATTTTCCTTTTTAAAACCCTTCTAGAGGATGGGTTGAACGCCTTGAGGGGCATTTGCTGGTTTCGCCCAGGAGAGCATCATCCGACGAAGTACTTGGCTGAGCGGATTGACAAAGAGGTGAAGATTGGGAAGCAGTTGGGGACCCTTGGTGGTGGCAATCACTTCCTGGAGGTGGTCTACTCTGAAGGCGATGACCAGGCAGGCTCTACCCACTCTCGGGTGGTCTCGGTCCGCACGTCGACCGGTCGCGGGTTGAGCGTGCGACGGTCGACTCACTGTGAACGCAGACGGCCGTCGTCTAAGATCTCAGCTTGTTCGCTTTGGCTTCTTGCTACGTTCGTAGCGATGGCCTCCAACCTAGTAGCGATGGCCTTGCTATTTGAGCTAGATTCCTAGATCTCATTTGCTCGCTGAATCAGGTCTGGTGCATGTTGCACAGTGGAAGTCGGAATGTGGGCAACACCACAGCATCCTTTTATGATCGGGTTGCGGGTGAAAGGCTCGTTCCTTTCTGCTGGCTGTTTTTGTATGTTAGTGTCGGTCAACCTTTGGAATGACAAACCTGCAAACTCTTTTTCAGGTTGTACTCTTGGTTTTCTGTTTTGGAGGATTGTCAACAGTGAACCCTGGAGGGGTGTGGCTTTGCGTGGCCTGCACGGCTCTCTGAACTATTTGGAGGTCGAAAGCCCTGACGGACAAGACTATTTGAAAGACATGCAGTGGTGTGCCTGGGCTTCAGAATTTTCGGTGTTGATTTCCTCCAAGCAGCTTGGTGCATCAGGCTTCCAGTTTGGATCAAATACCTCCAACATCCTCCAACTCCTCCAAAGCCATCAAGTCACATGCACCATACCGCGAGAAGAAGAAAGACGACGTTTCTCGTCTTCCTTCGCGGCGCGAACTCCCCAAAACACCGTCGAGTGGAGGTCTTGGGGCGACCTGACCTGCGTCCTTTTTTTTGCAAACCCGGGCGCTCAGGTCAGGCGTATGCGCGCGAAAACCGTCGGAGCATGTTGGAGCTGATGATTTCCACGGTGGAGGAGGTCACGGGGAAGAAAGCGGATCTGTCCCGCGCGGTGAACGCCCATCATAACTTCTGCCAGCCGTGAGCTGAGGAGAAGCGCGAAGCGCCGCAGCGCGCAAAAAACAAGCAACAAACCTCGTGTCAAGTGCTGCAGAACACCAAATGTCAATGTGGGGAACGCAGGTCCACCCTGTAGCTCCTTTGGCCAAATGGCACGTGCGATAGCTCTTGAGCGGGGGTGCGAGACAGGGGTGCGAGTAAGACGTGACTGAGGTGCGAAAGATGCCAGTTCCACGATGCCCAAACTGGTCAGGTTTCAGATGCTTTAGCTGGACTTTGTCCACTCTTCTATATTTTTCTTGGTTCCTTCAAACAGGCCTAGGACACCGACCTTTGTCCTGAGTTCATGTTTTGAGTTTTGAGAGCTGTGGCAGATTCGACCAAGGAAAAGAAGCTGTGGGTGACGCGCAAAGGTGCCACAAGTGCACGAGAAGGAGAATATGGTATTATTCCTGGGAGCATGGGAGCTAGGAGCTGAGTCCGTGCACCTTTCACCCCAATCCATCACCGGCAGGGACTGGTCTGTTCTTTCCATAAGTGATTCTTCATTTTGTTGGGTGCTAAGGACTTTGCTGCTTGTGATGTGCTAGTAGCGGATGACCACAACAAGGTGATAAAGGCTTGAATTACATATCACCCTATGTATTGTCCGAGCTTGTTTTGGAGTACTAGCCCCTGAACAAATTGTCCAACAGGTGTCAGATGGATTCCAGCTGCATATTCTGTGTCCCTTTGCTTTTGCCGCTTTGCCCAAGGTTGGTAGCTACATTGTCAAGGGCCGAGGAGCACGAGGCCGAGGGGAGGGTTGGAGAGCTCCCACCTTTTAGGATGCTTCATCACAGCTCTTGAAGTGACTTCAGCTCCAGCAATCACCGCCACTTCCCACAAGTGTGACAGCAGGTACACCTTTTACAGTAGCTGGTGCTGTGTGCTTTATTCTCCGAAATAGGCTCGTATACCAAAAGGGCCGCTGATGGATAAGATAGGATTATGCAATAGGCATCTCGCTTGTTTTCCTTTGCAAAGGCACCTATCTTTGGCTTGGGCTGACTGTGCTTTGTCTTCTTGGTAGGTTCCTGGCAAAGTTGCTCGCATGGTGCCGGCAGGACCGCTCCGGGTCTTCGTCGCGAGACTTCTTCGCTTTGCGTCGCGAGACGTCTTCGTCGCGTGGGTCTGCTTCTTCTGGATCGGATCCGACCGTTCTCTGTGGTTTGGGTGTTCTTCATGTTCAGGTGAGGATTGGACAAACATCGGTTTGGTTTGGATTCCCCTGGTTGCTTCAGAATGGCAAAGAGGGAGGTCGTCCTGCCCGGATTCCACGGACCTCTCCGTGACCGGACCTCCCATCCCATCCCCCCGTGGAAACCGGTCCGTTGGTCGGGGACCGTCCAGGACCGGGGTTTGACGGACCGAGCACTCCAGGTGAGGGGCCAGGCCCGCGGACTCACCTGGACTCCTGAAATGAGTGCACATCAAGTGGACACTGTGAGGTCCAAGCCGTCTTCTTGGCATCATAAGATGAGTTCATGTGCACAAAGCAAAAGGGGATCGTTTAGTTGGGGATGACCACCCTCCAGTCGTTTTGGAGACTTTTCGAGACTTTGTGCTTCGCTGGGTTCGAACCAGCTCGCTCATGTGGCGACGATGTCCCGAACGCAGGACGATGTCCAGAACACGTGCGAAGAAGATCATCCCACAGGACGGGGCCCGTCGCCCGGGTTGCCCGATCGGCCCGGATCGCTGGGCTGTTCGGACGAGTCCGGGTGTGGTGGCGGGCAGACGCGACTGCAACGGGCAAGCCATGGTTCACCAAAACCTGGCTGGAAAGCACATGGCCGGGGGTGGAAAGCACATGAAAACAAAATATCTCCAGTTTCAGCGATGTCCAGTTCCTACGTTCTCGCGTGATGCATCCTATCATCATTCCACGGGACGTGTGGAGAACGCTGATCATTCGCACCTTCACAGATGCGACATTGGCATTGTTGCAGGTGCGGCAAACAAGCTTTCTGAACAGAATTTCCCGAAGCAAACGGGACAGAGACAGATTTCCCAACGAACAAAAGACGAGTTTCCTTTTGCGAGTGTGAATTACAGATACCGCCCAGAGTTTCCACAGGTTTCCTGTACCATTGGGGAGGGCTGGGAGGCTAGGATTTCTCGACCCAACTGCCTTGTGTTGTTAGATTTCCCATCCTATGACCACCTGCCAGACCGCGCTGCACGTGCTCTCCTGATTTCCCACCCGCGAGGAGGCGTTTGAAGCTTCCATGCAAGGCATCGTGTGTGATACGAACCCCGCGGTGCGCGACGAAGCACCTCAAGCCTACAAGGATCTGGGGCAAGTTGCTTGGCGGATCACGGAGGATGTAGTGGATGTTCCCTGGCCAAGTTTTTTTAGCCTTGAGGCTAAGTGTTCTGTTCTCATATCAGGTGCTGAAGAATCAAGCAGATCTGGTGGAGGCGGATCATGTGGCAAGTGGACCTCATGTGGCAAGTGGACAAACATGCAGATTCTTGAGGTGCAGCATCGTCTTCTTCCTCTTGTCAATGTGAAGGGCTTTGAAGAAAAGGGCCGCTTATCTTCAGAGGAAGGGATTTTTTGTTATGTGCTTTAAGATGGAGGTTGAGGTCTCCAAGATAGTGACATCCAGTCCATTTCCAAAGAGCTTGCACTTCCATGTGGGTTCCATCCTACCTGGGGCCGCCCAAAACAGACGCGACCTTTGCCTACGCCATGCAGTCAAGAGTTTGCGCCTCGTCAGGCAGTTTCAAGGACAAGAGGCGCGCTCCGAGAAAGAAGACCCGAAAGCCATCCGGAAGCCGTTGAGTCCCAGAGACAGATTGGGATCGGATGTACATAAAGTAGTTAGGATAGTTAGGTCAAAGCTACCTTTGGGACCGACCCTCGTCGTCCACCTATTCCCATGTGGGGAGAATGACCAACGAATTCAGATGTGCCAAAATCCTCATCTGACAGGGTGCTGTTGGAAGAATCGAGCAGAAAAAGGGAGTTGCGACAGTGACGCAGATTTTTGCCCAGGGCTCGCTGCAAGGACTCGCTTTGGACTCCAAAGGACTCGCTTGTTCTTTTCTGGCCCGAGGACAGAGAAGTGCTGATCAGGGACGTTCTACGGAGCTGGTGGACAGATGCTTAGATGACTTTTGACTGGATGATCTGGATGAATCGCATTCATCGGACACGAAGGAAGTGGCCGACTCAAAGTTGACAGGAAGTGGTCATGAGCATCGCCGATCTGAAGCTGAAGGAGGGTGGAAGCATGATCGCCAAGCATTTCGAAGGCGTCGGCTCCTCAGACACCGGTGGACCGGTGGACGTGCGGTCGTTTCGACGAACAGAACAACGAGGCCTCCACCGAGGAGCTGAGACTGAAGATGAAAGCCCGCTATGAACTGTGCTCCTTGGCAGTTTCCCCCAACTGGTGTGCTTTGGAAAGTCTTAGGCTTTAGCAAGTCTGGAGATGAGTTAGAATCCTCCCAGAGTGGGCCGTTTGGAGGGGGCTATAGATGGCTATAGAATAGAATGGTGGACTCTGGTTGGGTTGGGCCGACAAAGCTACAGATTTAAACTACCATCTGCGGGTGTTTTTTTTCTTTTTTTTTTCGCATCCAACTCGGTGAAGCGTTGCGAGCAGACCAAGGTCGCATCATCAAAACCAGAGCTTCCCGGACACAATCCTGCGAGCCGCTCTCCGGCAGTGTTGTCTTGGGTTTGAAGCGAAGAAGAACGCTTTCCGAGTGGGTTTGGTGAAAGGACCTGACTGATCACGAGCCTTCGGCATTCGTGGAGTGTCGGGCAGGCTATACCTCTGCTGTTTGGGCAAAAAGCCAATGAGCCTGGAGGCAGGGGCATATCAAGCCCATGTACACCAGCATTGCTGCTCACTTCTTGTCGTCTCCGGTTCTGGTTTGCAGGCGTGGTTGTGGTGATTTTATGTAGCTGTAGAGCTTTCATTTGCTTGCTTTCACCATGGGTTTAGTGAGCTAGCCGTACGGCTGGTTTTTTTTCAGAACGGGCTGCAATTTCTGCTAGTAAATAACGATAAACAACAGTATTAAATGATTCATGATAAAGAAGCACAATCACAACGCAATGTGCTCATAGTTCTTCACGTCGAGGTACACTTTTGCTTCCAACATAGACCTGTTTTTCTGTTGCTTGTCGTTTTTCAAAAACATGACCTTTCTGTCTTTTCCTAAGCACTTTACTGTTGGGGTTCTTGAAAAACACACTGGCCACAGTCTTGGGCCGCGCCGGTCGATGCTGTGTCCGGACGCAACGTCCTCCCGTTCTCCTCTTGCGGCTGGTTCTAATAGCTTCTTGCTACTAGTAGTACGGCCAGGAGCCCCTAGTAGCGCCCTTGCTCCTACTAGCGATGCCAGGAGCCCCTAGTAGCTTCTTGTTCCTAATAGCTTCCTGTGGTCCTCTTTTTCATCTCTTTTCCTCCTCTTGTCTTCTTCCTGTCGCCTCGCTGTCTCTTGTCCTCTTCTTGTCCAGCCAGTCGGTCTCCAGACCTTGTCCTCGTTGTCCTCCTTTTGCTCTGCTTTCCTCCTCTTCTCTTCTTTTTGTCGTCCCGGTGTCCTCCTCTTGTCCTCTTCTTGTCATCCTGCTGTCCTCTTGTGCGGAAAAATCTGGCGGCTGCGCCGGCAAGCCTCTCCGTATGTCCTCTTCTTCTACTCTTGTCACACTCTTCTTGGCCGTCCTCCTCATGATCTTCTATTGCCTTCTTATTGTCCTTCTTCGTGTATTCATTGGCCGGGGCTGCCATGTTGTCCTTTTGGAGTTGTCCGGTCTTTTCCTTCCCTCATCCTTTTGTCATTTGTTGTCGTCCTCATGTCTCCTTTTTTCTTTCTGTTGTCCTGCTGCTGTCGTGCTGTTTACGTTGCTTTCCGAGGCAGGGGCTGTGGCTGTGGCCACCCACCACAACAACAACAACAACAACAATTTCTGCCAACTAAGCTGTTTCGGGTCTATGCTGGTATTACAGTGTCACAGAATTGCACCATAGACACAATCACAACCTTTTCGTCACAACAATCAGTACTCAATACAGCCATGGCCACACCCACGAGCGCAACCAAAATCGGAACAAGCATGAGCAAGCACAAATCCGCAACACGCGACCCAGCCGTTGACAAATATGAAGACGTTGCATCGCTTGAAAAGCAAGCAAATCATAGAACAAAAAGGGGAAAATACATGTTTAGCTGCACTCAGTGCCACTTATTGAATCAAAGAAGAGCTTTGATGTTGCGGGTGTCCCGGATCGGAGTCCTTCTTCGCCGGTTCGGCCGCCGTTTCAGCGTTCGGGTTTGTTCATGTCCAAGTCTAAGTTGGAAGAACTATGAGCACATTGCGTTGTGGTTGTGCTTCTTTATCATGAATCATTTAATACTGTTGTTTATCGTTATATACTAGCAAATTGCAGCCCGTTCTGAAAAAAACCAGCCGCACGGCTAGCTCACTAAACCCACGGTGAAAGCAAGCAAGTTGGACATGGGCCCCGCCTCGTAGGCCCCATCCACTTGGCAAGCTCCGCCGCGAGTTCAAAGGACTGGGCGCACGGAGTCGCAACGAATCTGTGGATGAAATGCCCATGGAAATGGTTCAGGCTAGGAGTGGCCAAAGATCTGCAAGCTCCGCGCATCCTTGAAATGGTTTGTTCTTGGAAGAGGCTTTGTCCTGGCGCAGCTTGAGGACACGAAGAAAGCCAGCGCCGCGCAACTACAATGGCTGGTAGGTGAGGACCGTACAGCGACAACGTGGCTGGATGTCGTGTCCCATGGGTCAGTGGCTGTCAGGGCTGAATTCTCTCCGAGCGGGCTGAGCGGGCTTCGCGCTGCTGGAGTGTCGGAAAAAATGGCAGTCTATGTTTATGTTCTGATGTGGGGGTCGCTGACACCACTCTTGGCAGCTGGAAGTTGGTCGTCCTTTTGCGATGTGCAGACATTTAGCCAACAAACCCATGGACATTCAAACACCGACCCTGAGCCGGACAAGCCGTGAAGCAAAAAACAGGAGTTGGACACTCCGTCAGAGCAGTTGAAGACAGTTCCACAAAGATCCACAAAGATCCACAAAGAACAAACACAATAGACACAGCTTTCCACCAATACCTTTAGGCGCGCGCGCCACGCGCCCCCCACGGCCGCAGCTGCGGAAATTCATGCAGCTCTTTCAACAGCTGGGCGAGGTGACGGGGTTCGGAGAACGCATCCTGATGGAAGTGGAAAACCACCGGTTGGTTGAGGAACATTCCATGATGTTACTGTAACTCCAGGGAGAGGGAGGGTAGTTCAGATTCTAGATGGATTTTGCTTGATTAGCGGGTGCCTGGAATTTCGAAAGTGTCTAAATCCTTTCATAATGGGGCTTCTTCATAAGAGGGATGGCCTCCAACCCAATAGCAATGGCCTCCAACCTAATAGGGATGGCCTCCAAGAAATGATCTGCTGCCAGCTGCCCCCCAGCTGCCCGCGGCTTGATTTGATTTGCCGTTTCGCCATGTCTCGAGCTTTTTGGGCCATGAAGACGTGAAGGTGTAGCATGGTGAGACCTTTTTGTATCACTCAAGCCAGCCATCTCTGGACAGATGATCTTGCGTTTCACTAGCTAGGTGAGCCTGGACTTCGGCTCAAGTTATGTATCCAGGAGTCTGGTTGGTTTGAGCAGCCGCGAGTCCTGGTTGGAAGAAACCACGCCTCTCAGAGTGACTTGGCCAGGCCTTGGCGCGACTGACCAGTGGTCAATGCGCCTGGAATGACTTGACCAAAGCGGAACTCAGGAGCGACATGACACGTGATGCGCCGCCCGGGCAGTTTTGCTTGGGCAGCTTTTATTTGGTTGGTTTTGGAGTCCAAGATTGAGCTGTTCCGTGTTGGGGCAATTTTGTCCCGATCATGATGGAGAGACTCTGAGTCGGCTTATTTGGCTTGCTCACTGTGCGTGGTCCAATCCGTTTGCCATTTCGACTGACGGACCAATCAAATTCGCCAGGAATTTGGAGCTGGAGGAGCCAAAGTCAGCCATCGAAGGACTCGAAGGTCTTGCTTTGGAGTATTCGTGGCAAGAGCTCCAACAGGCCAGACATGTAGGGCCGTAGCTAGCCCAGGGGGGTGCCCATGGGGGTGTTTGACTTGGACATGCTTGGGGTTAACTGTGGTTATTTCGGGGCTTCATAGGGTGTGAGGCATCAGGTTTGCCTATGGTTTGCGGGGGTAAAGACGTGGAGTCTGCTGGAGTTTTGAATTCTCAAAGTCTCAATGCCTTTCTCCAGGCAACTGAGAGCTTTGCTCCATCGCGGCAGTTGGGTGCTGGGGCAAGTGGTGCCTTGCTGTGAAGAAGAGGATTTCGCAAGAACCCGCCACAAGTGACTACAGTTACCCCCGCAATCCTCCAAACTGAGATGTCTAAATATCCATGCATGGCCAGATCTTTGTGCGCCCATGCACGCCGCCCTCTCTTCAGAGAGGTACTGTCTACTATGCCACCTTGTGTGAGGGCACGGAGGCCGCTATCAAGGTACGGGCGTTCTCGTTCGCCTTCTTCCGGACCGTCGGTCCTTTGTCCTCTTCGGAAGGTCTTGGACGCTCCAGCGCGGGGAGGCTTTGACGAGGAGGTGCGACTCTTGTCGCGCTGCCGACATCCCAACGTCGGGGAGCCGAGAGTGGAGATTTGAAGAGAAAAGGGAGACATTACGGTCCATTCACCGTTCACCCACCTGCTGCGCTCTCGCAGCCCAGCCTCCGCAGCCCAGCCTCCGCAGGTCGTTATGCTTTTGGGGTTTGCTGAAGAGACGCAATTTCCCTTTGCTCCCTTGCATCGGCGTTGCGCGTTGGTCTACGAGATGCTGCACGGGGGCGATCTGTACCGAAGGCAAGGCTGCAGAGGAGCAATCAAGGCTTCACTGAAAGCTTTTCAGATCAGTGAAACGTGTGGCACTGATAGCGTACGATTCTGTTCATTCGGTTCCATTTCGGGAGACAGGTCGGACCAAAGAACGGGTCTCACCCGGCATCGACATGCTTCGGTTGGTTCGGTCCCAACGCACCAACCGCTCTGCCAATCGACCTTTCGACGCTTTTCCACCAGGCTGCAAAGGGACGATAAGCCCTACCTTTGGCACGATCGTCTTCGAACTGCCACAGAGGCGCCACCCTGGGAGGCTAGGAGGTTCTCAATAACTTGCCTCTGCCTCTGGGTCCCCCAAAAAGCACGGTTTGGGGGGATCTTTGGGGTGTGTGGGTGAAGGGCCATGCGGGGAGATGCGGGGTGTTGGGTGTGTTTTGATGCGTTTGGATTCTTGTGCGATTTGAGAGAACACCCGAGCCATGCCGCCGTGAGGTCTGCCGAGGCCTTGCCCACTTGCACAAGCATCGGCCGAAGATCTTTCATCGTGCCCGAGCGGCATCCCGAGGTAGTCGGAGTTTAGCCTTTGTTTGTTTGTGGGGGATGGAAGCGGGGCAAGAGCTCCGGTTCAGCTTCGCCAGCAGATCTAATCAAGGGTGGTGTTGATCAAAGCCCACTCTCAAACGCAATGGTTCATGTCTAATTAGAGTCTAGAGTTTAGGAGTTTAGGTGAGTTTAGTGGATAGTCCCTGGATAGTGATAGAGACCAATATTATGCGAGATTGTTTTGTTTTGACCTTGGATTTTTGGATCAGTGTGCTCATATCAGTGAAACACAAGTTTGGATGAGGATGAATGAGTCATTGCATCGTGGCCACCCCGTTGCCCTCCCAAAAACCAGATTGGTGCGCATTTGTCCCCTGCACCAATGGCGCCTATTTTTATCATTGCTCTCCTGCTATCCAGTGGATTCTGCACATACAACTTTGAAGAATCAAGAAGCTGGCTGTCGGCGGTGGATGTCATGCCTTCATGCACCTGACCTGGATCTAGCGCAGACCAGTAAGTGCGCCTGGGTGTTGGCGCAGCGCTGTTCCGCGGTTCAGCGCAGCGCGGTTCAGCGCAGCGCAGCTAGGCGACATCAAGAGCCAGAACATCCTCTTCAGCACTGATGGAACGGCCAAGATTGCAGACTTCGGTCCCCTGGCGTTCAACGGATTGGAACGGATTGGAACGGATTGGAACGGCCGGTAGGCCGCAGATCACATGTGCCATGGGTGGTTTTGGATCAGATCAGCCTGAGGGGCACCAGCTTCGGTCTTGAGCCACAGACCTGCGGCTTTTCAGCGAGGCCTGGCCTGTATGGCTTCCCACCATCATGAACATGAGCTGGCGACTGTGCCGGGAGCCGAGGTGGAGGGTTCTGCCCAAACAGATCAACCTCATCAAACCAATCTGTATATGGTGGTCCGCAAAATAGATAGAAGAGTGAATCCCCGCTCAAAATGTCTTGGACACCGTGCCACAAATACTCTTTGGGGATCACCGTGCCACAATACCATCGTTTTGCTTCCAATCGACCGTTCTTTGGGGCGCCCAGGCAAGTGGCCGGCACCTTGGGATACTCCGATCCACTCTACACGAGGAGACGCACGTGGGCGCACACCACGTTCTTCCCGGTGGCGCCGTTTTTCTTCCACATTCCACGCCGTTTTTGTTTCAGCTGGTGTCGGGTGTTCGATGGAAGTGTTGTTTTTTATTCTTCTCTCTCTCTCTCTCGCAATATTATAATATCTATATATATATACATGTATACACACCAAAACCTAGGTTTTGAGCCTTTTTTAGAGATCAATTTTGTGAGAACCAGGCCTATAACAGTTTAGAGGGGATACATAGTGTTTGACAGTGATTTTTGGCTAAAACACCAAAACCTAGGTTTTCAGCTATTGTTAGATCAACTTTGTGAAGGCCAGGCCTATAACAGTTTTGATGGAATACTACAAAACCAAAAAAAAGCAACAAAAAACGCAATAAGCCAAAAAAAACAATAAACACAAAAAAACAAATGTTTGAGACAAAATGGGGGTACAATAGGAGTTGGATTCTTCTTTTTTGTTTTTGGGTTTTGCCTCAATTTTGTCTCAATCATTGTCTATTTTTTTGTTTTTTTGTTTTTTGTTTGTTTGGTTTTCTCTTAAACTTTGTCGCGCAGCAGACATTCGTGATAAGTTGCACAGTCTTTTTAATATATTGCATTTCTGACACGGTTGCATAGATCTCGGGGTTTCTACATCGGCTTTTGCCGAGTACTGGCGCCACTGTGCTTCCGACAGTATCGCTAAACGCAAGTCCTGCGTAGACATTCTTTATAAAACCCTTATTTAAAAGCCATTGAAATTTGATCAAAACGACTCTGGAAAGGCTACCCTTCATGAAGCCACCATACCCTATCTAAATAAAGTGCACCCAAAATAAAGCTAAACATGTTTGCTGCCAGTTCTAAGTATCTAAGTAAAGATTAATTTCATTTCCTTATTAAACTCCTTTATTAGAATGCCCTTTCTGTTCTAAGTAAAAATTCATTTCACTCATTAAGCTCCTTTCTTAGAACTCTCTTTCTGTTCTAAGTAAAGATTCATTTCATGTCCTTATTTACATCCTTTCTTAGAATTTTCTTATTAAATTATTTTCTTAGAAGTCTCTTTGATCTCAACTCCAGGAACTTGTCCTAAGTAAAGATTCATTTCATTTACTTCTTAAACTCCTTTCTTAGAATCTGGAATGAACTTTATTCAAGGTCAAAGTGACGGGGGAGGGGGGGCCCTGTTTATTAACAATGCGGGTGCTCCTGGGAGATGTTTTTTACAAAATGGACACGTAAAAATACATAATGAAAAGCCAGATAAGCGAGAGACTAAAGATCTCATCTTGATGTATATGGTTAGACGGCCCCGTAACTAAAGGAGAAGGGTCGTTTAGTTCTAACCCTCGTAGCTCCGGCTCAAAAGGGCATGTGGGGACACTCCACCGGCTGCCGGTGTGGAGTGTGCCTCACACTGCAACGCGTTTGCCGGCACATCCGTGACTACAGCGGCGAACCTGGTTACATCGATTTTGCCGCGGATCGACTACGTGTGCTGGCAGGTGAAGTCTCGGACTTCATCGACTCGCGACAGCGAGACACCGGGCTGCGAGCGGCATCTCGTGGTCCGGGACTCCTCACCCCGGGAGGTGAAGGGGAGTCAGGAGGTGGTCCAGGCGGAGGAGAACGAAGCCCTGGACACCAAGATCAAGTAGCTGCAGCTAAGGAGGAGCAGGTGGAGTCATCGAGGAGTTGTCCGCCTGAGGTCAAGAGTGAAGCAAGTGTGCGTGAGGAGACTGAGGAAAGAGGAGGAAGTCAGGCCAAGAGTGAGGCAACCAGCCATCCAAGCACTGCACCAAAGAAACTAGCAAAAGCCAAGGATACAGGAAGAGAGCCACTACCTCGACGGGATTCAAGGCGGAGAACAAAGGAGGAGCCAGCCAAGAGTGAAAGGGAGGAAGAAGGCACAGGAACTCCTCACTCAGATCAGAAGAAGAAGAGAAGGAGGCGAACCAGGAGCCGATCCCGCCGAAGACGTCGAAGAAGAGAAGGTTGAACAAGAGCATCAACCTGCAAATCCAGGAGGTCGATCGTCAGCTTCAAAACCGGAACCCCGACCTTCAACCGGCCAGGCTAAGGCCCAGATCTCCTTCACATCCTCCACCTGCAGGTCATGGACGTGGACAGGGGTGGAACGCACCCCCACGTGGGTATTACATTACAGGCAGGAAGAGTGGAAGCCTCAGGAGTGGAAGAACAAAGGAGTCAAGAAGACGGAGACTCAGCGCTACTTCAAGGCCTTCCTGGCGCACAAGAGAGGACGGTGAGGTGGTTGAATGGCCCCTAAGCGGAGGCCAGCAGCGGCTGTGGAAAGAAGGCGAGATCGAGGTGTTCGAGCCAGACCAGCTGCAGTTGAACCTCCTGAGGATTTGGATTTCTCGAGGGGAGGTTTGATAGAGGGACATCGGTTGACTGTGGTGGCAGGTCAGCTTGAACTGAGGTTGCAAGCCGGAGGAACTTCCGACGAGGGTTTGCTGAGGTGGCTGTCGGGCCAGGAGGATCGATGTCTCAGGTGCCACCTTTGTGGTTTGGGGTGTTCGGACAGTCCAGTCGCCGACGACTACATCCACGTGAAGCGAGTCAGGAGGCTGGAGGTAGACCGCCCGGCTTGGAGCGAGAACCTGAAGGAAGCGGCCGAAAGCGAGGCGTTGAGGAGGCTGGCAGAGGAGTCGGGAAGGAGAGAAAAGGAGGCTCGCGGGAAAGGAGTCGGGGGAGGACACCCCGGCGTCATCGCGGGAGAGAAGAAGGACGAAGAGGTCAGCAGTTCGAGCACGAGTTCATCCAAGAAGAAAAAGAAAAGCAAGAAAAAGAAACAGAAGTCCAAGCGTTTCAGAGTACAAGGAAAGAAAGACCTCAAGAAGATCTTTGAGTTCACAGGTTTAGACCCCAGCCTCAGAGTACGCCGACGAGTCATGAGGTTGGCGCGAAGAGCCATGAGGAACAGGAGCAGGGAAGACTCGGAAGGCTCCTCGTGCAGCAGCACGGAGGGGAGCAGCGCAGAGGCGGGACAGCATTTGTTCGAGGAGACCCACAAGATCAGAAAGGCCGCGACCAGAGGACCCGGGGCGTTGACAGCCTTCACGATCTCGAGCGTGTCGAAGTCCCTGCTCACCCAACAAGGGTTGCCAATAGAGGAGACAGATGGAGCAGTGCCGCATAGCCCTTCAATACCACAAGCAGGTCCTATCCCAGCGTCTGTCACCGCCTTTAGCGAGGGAGTCGCTGAACATTTGTGCGGCCACCGACGCACTCCTCGGAGGTCAAGTAGCACTGGGGTTGGATATCCTGGTACAGCGCCTCAAGAGCATAGAAGCGCTGGGAGGAGGTCAGAGTTGGGCCGCATCACAGAAACTCGAGCTTGCTCCTCAAGAAGGTTCTCAACAAAGCAAGACAGCCAACAAGGAGTTGCTCGAGGAGCTGAAGAACAGACAGGCTTCGCAGAAGACGTGGCAGAAGGGAGAGAAGGGAGGCTCGAAAGGAAAAGACGAGGAGGCCAAGGGCAAGAGCAAGAGAGAAGGAGGGAAGGAGAAAGGAAAAGGGGAAAGGGAGAAGGAGAAGTAGTTTCTCCTCCCCTGATGTTGAGTGAACAAGAGATTGAGGAGGAGCTGGCGAGAATGGCTCAAGTGGCTTTTGCAAAAGAGAGGCTGGAACAAAAAGAGGCACACTATGACTTCACCATGCTGCAGAAACCGGATGGGAGTGAACAGAGCTATAATCACTCCTCGGAAGCCATTTTGGCACGCACAGCGCCCGAAGGAGATGCCGCTCCGGAGGGCGAAACCACAACGTGTCCGCTCTCAGAGCGAAAAAAGAAGCTGGGTGCGGGAGGGTTCCGTTTCGCGGACGTCGTTGGGGGCTTGCTCAGGAACCTGTCCACTCCTCTTCGCAAGACCGTGACCTTGGGGGAGGTTTTTCCCCTCCCCTATGGCAGTTTCCTGGAAAGAACCCCTTTTGACGACTTGAATGTTGAAGTGAGAGAAGTGTTGAAAGGGATGATTGTGGGGCTCAACAGCATTTATGATTGCTCACCTTCCACTACCGTTGAGCGACAACACCAGGCGGAGGTTCAAGGTGCGCTGGTCGATGGGCAAGAAGGGGCCCGGCCCCGGCCGGAGAAGGCGCTGAGGTATGTCCAGCTTGCGCTTTTGTTACTTGAGGGGGGCTCCTGCAGCCAGAAACAAATGCAGATCGTTGCTGGAGGTTTGGTTTACATGGCCATGTTTCGGCGGCCACTCCTGGGCAGTTTGAATGCCCTATGGGAGTTTATCCAAAGCTTCACGGAGAGTGAACGGCATTTTCAAGTTATCCCTCAACCGGTCCGAAGGGAGATAGCTTGGTTCTGTCTCCTGGTCCCCCTGGCTCGGATGGACTTTCGCTTCCCTTTCTCCAACCTGGTGACGGCGAGCGACGCTTCAACAAGTGGGGGTGGAATCACAGCATCATCACGGCTCAGCCCCTTAGGGTGCATAGCAGCCAACTGTGACGTTCGAGGAGACGTGGTGGAGCCCAACGACTTGACACAGGTGCTGACTATAGGACTGTTTGATGGATTGGGCGCCCTCAGGGTAGCGGCTGATGTTATTGTGCTTCCAGTTGTGGGACACATTAGCATTGAGAAGCATGCGCCCGCTCGGAGGGTGGTAGAAAGCCGATTTCCGCAGACAGTCTTCGTTGAGCAGGTGGAGCTGGTTGATGAGGCCATGGTGCAAGAGTGGGCGCGCCGTTACACTCAGGTAGGGTTGGTCATCCTGGGAGCCGGACCTCCCTGTCAGGGAGTTTCGGGGTTGAACTCAGATCGACGGGGAGCCCTCCGAGATCATTGAAGCTGCCTGTTCCAATATGTTGACCTCATTCACCAGATGCTCAAGAAGGCCTTTCCTTGGGCGCAAGTCCATCGGCTGATGGAGTCGGTGGCCTCGATGGATGAGAGCGACCGAGCCTTGATGAGTGAATCGGTGGGATGCACCCCCTACATGGTGGACCCCATGCAGATTTGTGGAGCCCGTCGTCCTCGATTGTTCTGGCCGTCATGGGAGTTGGTGGAAGGCCCTGGGGTGACCATCTCCTCGGCTCGCGGGCATGGGTGGTCAGCCTGTCGAACAGTGGAACCAGTCGAGAGCACTGTCTTTCTGGAACCCGGATGGGAGAAGGTCTCCTCGGAACCCTTTCCCACGGCGAGACCAAGGTACACTCCAGGCAGGCGGCCCGCAGGAATACAGCAATGCAGTGCGGAGGTACTGCAAGACTGGGCGAGCGATTTGCATCGTTATCCTCCATACCAATACCTGCACAAGTTTAGAGTCCAGGACAAGCACGGCAATACTCGGTTGTTGACCTGCGAGGAGAAGGAGGTGCTCATGGGTTTCCCCAAAGGCTACACCGTTCAATGTTGTCCAAAGCAGGAGCAGCGCACACAGGCGTGGCAAGACGAGCGTATGACGCTGATTGGCAACAGTTGGAACGTCTTCGTGATCGCTTGGCTTTTGGCCCAACTCTCCTGGATCTTGGGCGTCGGCCCCTGTATGTCCTCGCGGGAGATTGTTGAACATTGCCTACCTGGAGGTGGACGAACCTTGCAGAGCTTCCTGCTGCGTCCCTATACATGCGACCGCCTCGAACTGCAACTGTCGAGCACGACGACACACTGCTTGTCAAGAAGATTGCCGGGCTGACCAGTCTGAAGGGAGAAGATATTCTCCTCCAGACCCAGAGTGAAGATCCGGTTCGTTATCATCGCCTACGTGCAAGCATACCCGCCAATTTATGGAAGTGGCGTACTATTTGTGGCTGGAAATGGCGAGGCGCCAAGGAGCACATCAATGTTTTGGAGCTCCGTGCAGTGTTTACTACTCTACGCTGGCGCATGGGGAAGAAAGGGATGCTACACCAACGCTGGCTTCATCTGGTGGACTCGCTAGTATGCTTGCGCAGCTTGGCTCGTGGTAGATCCAGCAGCCGCAAACTAAGAAGAACTCTGCTCCGAATAAACGCGTTACTCCTAGCTTCCGGAACGCAAGGATTGTGGGCATATGTCACACATCTCAAAACCCGGCTGATGCTCCCAGCCGGTACCCCGTTCGCAAACGATGGCAAAAGTAAAGAGGCCAATGCTTGAAGGAAGCTCAAGGGAGGAACGCAAAAGGCAGAGAGCAGAGTTAGGAAGCTTGCAGTCGTTGACGGTGCAACCACGAACCCGTGCTCGTTACAGCAAAGCCCTGAGGGCTTCTGGTCCTTTCTCCGAGAGGAAGGCAGGACTATTCCTTACAACCATGCCGAGCTCGATGTCCTTGTCCAGCACTACATTGAGCATTTGTGGAGCGAAGGCTTCGGTCGTGCGCAGGCAAGTGACACTGTCGCGGCTCTTCAAGATGCTCAACCTCAGGTCAAGGGACACCTGCGCGGAACTTGGAGGCTGCTTAAGGCTTGGAGCATGAATGAGGTGCCCAACCGGGCGCCACCCCTCCCTGAGGAGGCACTTCAGATGATGGTCGGGTACTCCTTTTTCAAAGAGCAGTACAAATTTGGACTCCTCGTAGGGTTCTATGGGACCTTGCGCACGGGAGAGATCCTCAGCCTCTGATGTCAGCCTGACCAGTGTGAGTGGACCGGCCGTGATCTCTTTAGGTTTGACCAAAGCCGGCAAGTGCCAAGGCGCTTCAGAGAGCGTCACCATGACCGTCGAAGAGCCCCTTCGCTGGCTCCATGCTTGGATACGAGACTGTCCCGAGCGAGACTCGCTGTGTCCTTCACCTTCCAAGTGGCGGCAAATGTTTAATGATGTGCTACGTGCGACCGGTTTAGAAGAATTAGGTTTCCGACCGTACTCGCTCCGTAGAGGGGGAGCGACCTTTTTCTTTCAAAAGTGGGGTGTTCTTGATAGACTTCTCATTTACGGTAGGTGGCAGGCTGCAAAAACTGCACGCACCTACGTGAATAGTGGTTTAGCTGCACTGGCGGAGATGAACCTGCCTCGCACTCCTGCAAACAAACAGTTCAGGGCCATTTTTCTGAATTCAAAGAAACATCCCTTGCCGTCGCTTGGCCATACCCCGAGAGGGGGTAGGGCAGGGGGCAGTGGAAAGAGTTCAAAACAGTCAAAGAAGAGAACGAAAAAAGAGATCGTGGGGCGCGATCGCTGAAATTTTAAACCAGGCCATGAGGTCTTTTTTCTCCCAGGTGTGGCGGGAGGAAAAGGACATGGCCAAGGAACTCATCTTGGGCTAGGGGCTGCTCCTGGAGTGGCGGAGCAGTCCCCTAGGG